CGACCCCAGCTTCCTAACCCTAGGTCACTACCGTACACACTAGTTCATATTAACAGCCTAATCTAAAACCTCCCAACCACTAACCTCTACCGGTGGCCTCCAACCACCCTCTACAACTATCTGACCCAACAAAACTCACTAGCACTAACAACCCACTAACCTGCCAACACTATAACACTACTATTACTACGCACATACTACGCAAACTTTTCAGCCCTCACCTGCCAAACATCGCACCCCCACTCCCTAAACTAACCCTATCCCACTCAAACACACACACCCTACAACCTAGTATAATTCCCACCACCCATCATCACGAACGTCACTACAAAGACCTCTACCCTTCACTAATAACAGGCGGCAACACACAACACACACTAACCCAGAACAACAACCCGTATCATACACTAATAACCGATACTCTAGCTTCGTCCCCCCCTTGCCCCAACCGCCTCCCCTCCCCACATCCATCAACCTTTATTAGAAACCCACCTTTTACCTACACCTGCAGATTACAACAGCACTCCATCCACCAACCACATGCCCCCACTCACAAATCAGCTAACCAGTCCTCCCACCAGAACTACCCACGGTCACCCAGCAATCAAGACCCATTCCCACCGGAACAAACCCCAGTCACCCTCCTTACTCCATCTAATCACAACCCCCCAACCCTTCACGACACTCCCCCACATTCTTCCCTCCACACCCTCCCCCTCCAACCCTCGCTCAACTTCCAAACCACTTGACCATCATCGCACCAAACCGCCTCTGCCCCTTCGTCGCACCCCCCCACCCCCTCACTCCTGGAGTCTGGCCACCCACGTCACTCATACCGCAGAACCCCCTCTAACCCATCCTCCCAACACCGCCCACCGTGCCCCCCCGCCACACATGACCCCACACCGTCCCATATCCCTTCCCACGCCGCCTGCCCTAACTGACAACGCTCGGACACCCCTAAACCCATACACCCCCCATACCAATCACTAATCACTAAACCTACGACACCAATCACTACCGATTCAACACAACTGAATCCCGACACTCCGAAAGACCCAACACACTAC